ACCGTACTGTACTTCCATCCCATGTAAAGTCCATATGATTTTTGGGTATTGTTACATTTTCAACCAAGATGCAGCCCAAGGTTTTTGACTTCCAAAATGAATAGATCATAAGAGCCTATCTTCTGAACCTTACTTTTTCTTGTCACAATTAAATGCGAGATATATGGGGGGGACACTGCTCAACTCTAGAGCCATATTGGTTGAACATGCAAATTTACTTTTATGTTTAATTCTTGCTGGTTAACCCGGGGACCATGTTTCATTTTAACAATCTGGGTGAAATTTTCGTACAAAATATACTGTAAGTGGGCCACAGATGTACGACCAACGTAGCCGATTTACTCAATTCTAACTTTATATTGCAAAATCCCTATAAATCTACTAAAGAAGCTAACGGACCTCCTCTGGGATTTATTCAAAGTAGGTATCTAGTCCACAGACCTTTACAAGTGGCAGTAATCGTCTACTAATGTACGAAAATAAATAAATATGGCGACTTGTTCATCACAACACATCAGCAGCTCCGGCAATACTTACTTATATACCTCCACTCAGACAGTGTCTTGTCATATATTATATCATAAACTGTACATAACACTATAAACTTCTAAAAACTATCATATAATTTAACTTAGCTTTCATTTAAACACCCAAAAGCGTCCATTATGCAGCAGACTCACTGGTGTTTCACTTCCTCCATGACGCCTCTCCAAATTTAAGGAAGGCGGTACTCGTCGACCAACCACATGCCAGCTTCTAAACTTGGGAAACCTATGTAGTTGATGGACGTCCAGACACAGTACCTTCACAGAGTTCCGTGCTACTATAGTGTGTGGTCTGCATGTTGTTGGATCAGTGTATTACTAACCTTGTTATGCACTTAAGGCCTCCATTGTCGAAGCGCAGTAATAACATTATAACAACAACAACGACGATGTGCCGGGTATAGCTATTTAACGCACTGCACCTCGACGTACAGCACTGTACTTCAATTCTCGTATTGTAACTTAAAATTAGTTTCTACAACTTTCTAAAAATCTGGTGTAGTATACTTTACCAGAGACTAAAGGTTTAAAAGAAAGAAATGGAGATTTTAGAAGATGAAAATGTGAAATGTCAGTGGTCAGAAGGGGGTGGTAGGTGGTGGGAGGGGGGAATCCCGTTGGCCCGCCAGTTAAATCAAGAGACTGTACACCTTGACTAGCTCTCCACCCCACCCCACCCTGCCAATAGTCCTCTGACGCCCACTCACCCCCTGCAAGCGGACGGGTGGGCACTGGGCGGACGGGTGGATAGGTGGGCAACGGGTGGTTAATGGGTATCAGGCATCTCAAGGTTCATGGCCTTCAGTGTGTTTACCCCCCCCTACCCCACCATGCCTCCCCTAACCACCCCTTCCCTCTCTCATCCCCTACCCCTCTCTCAGCCCCTACCCCTACCACTCTTCCCCTCCCAATCCTTCTCTCTATACCCTTCACCTTCCCATTCCTTCTCTCTACCCTTCACCCTCCCACTCCTCTCCCTACTGACCTCCCTTCCTTCCCCACTACGGGTACCTGTCTCCACCTGGGTAAAGTGGGGGTACCTATGGCTCGAATCAGCGACCCTTAAAACAGGAAGAGCTGTGTCTCCACTCGGCCACTGAACCACCCTGAATTAGGTTTTATTATTGTTATTATTAATAATATTATACACTGTTAACTCTCGTAGCTGATGAACAAATGCCACTTTATTGTAAAAGGTAGATTTTCTAATATTTTGGGACTAAAGAAAGTTTGAGAAGTTTCTGGCCTCAGTATTCACAATATATTTCGATTTTATGGATTTAAAAAATACATAAAGCTGTATGATGAGTGGTTGATTGATTGATACGTTTATTGAGATACAAAAAACATTAATACATCTCAAAGGGATGAAGTGACATAAGTCATCCCCACCCCAGTCCAGGAATGTCCCTCTCAGGACTCACATAAATCCCTAATATTTCATATAATCAGTTATAGTACATAGTTATATTCTAGATGCAAAATTTCTAGATATCTTTAATATTTCATCTATTTTCCTATTTTTATACATCCACTCTATTTGCTTGGGGACATTATTTATATGGGCATTTCTATATACATTAAGCAATGGGCATTCCAGTATATAATGTGGCAGGGTATGGGATCTGGATGTTCTACAAACTCTACATTCTTTATCCTGTTCACTTCTCTCAGCTCCAAGTTCCCAATAATATTTATATCCTAATCTTAACCTCATATACACTGAATCTTTCCACCTACTCCTATCTTTCCCATATGTAAATCTTGTGTTGATGAGAGCATGATGGTTCTCATGTCATGTGTAGAACAGTAGACTGTACAAACATAGGCTGGGTGTAGGCTGGTCAACCCAAAAACTTGACAAATCTCAACCTTCACATTCGCGAAATAAAGCAAACAAGGTGAATGAAGTGTCTAGGCATATTTAGATATTTACTTAGGCTAAAATGCAGTTCGCACAACACACAACTGCCTTAAGTTATACAGGGTATTGCTGAATTTCAGAGTTCAAGAAAATTAAAATTCTTATACTGTATTTGTTACCTTGACAAGTTATCTATGCTTCCATTAACCAAACTGTATGAGAAAGAAGCTGTTGGATGAGTATTTTAGTTGCCATTCTTAAGACTGTCTCAAATATTCTGGCAAACTGTACACTCTTGAAGGACTTTTAAACACGTAAATCTTTTTGTTCTTCAGTGTTCAATAAATATATCATCATTTAGAAGAATTATCTGAGACCCAGTAAACGTTCCTTCATTCAATTCAAGATCTGTACAGGTTGACAATCCCTTATCCGAAATCCTTGGGACCAGATGCATTTCGGTTTTTGGAATTTTTCGGTTTTCAGAACGGTTAGTTTTTTTTTTTTTTTTACTGGGATCAGCCACCTGGGCACAGGTCACTGACCCACATTGGGGCCTGGGGGCTAAAATATAATAATAATAATTATAATAATAATATTAATAATAACAATAATAATTCATAGGTCTAGGTCGTGTTTTGCACTTTTGATCTTTTTTTCATTCTTGTATTTCTTTATTATTATTATTATTATTATTATTATTATTATTATTATTATTATTATTGTTATTATTATTATTGTTATCATTCTTATTTTATTTTTGTGTATTATTTATTAAAATTTTTATTTACTATGAATAATTATTATTATTACTGTATTATCATTATTATTACTATTACAATTTCACCCCCCAGGCTCCGATGTGGGTCAGTGACCTGTGCCCGGGTGGGCTAATACAAAAAAAAAAAAAATGCTCCACAAAAAACTTTCGGTTATCAGAGCTTTTCGGTTTTTGGAATTTCGGATAAAGGGTTGTCAACCTGTATTGCCGGAGAATTGTCACATAAATCCTAGAATCCACTTGTCTTTGTTCAGGGACTTCAAAAAAATTTCTCGTGAGACTAAGCTTTATGTGAAGTGGTGGTAGATAAATCTATAATGGTTCTATTTTGTATAATTATTTAATACCCTGTGGTACACTACTGTAGTTTGGTGGTATACAAGACCTTAATGTCACACAATAACACAACCAAGTTCTTAATAAAAGTACAGATTCTAATCATCTTTTATTTTATTTTTTAATATAAAATCTCTCACAAATAAAGGAACTTATCATATCAGGTGCAGCAGTAATGACAGTGAGTGATTTCTATGACTGTGCTGTAATTTACCATAATTATCAATTAATATGGAAAATAAAAAGTAAAGGTTAACTGACAGATCATAAATATATGGCAGTTTTTTCTTTGTGGTGAACTTGCTCTTTTGAAATCTGAGCCGACTGAACTGCTTGTGGTTTCCCTGACATATATCTGGACTGTACTATAGTTCAGATTTGTTGATGTAGACAAATCTGAACCAAAAGTGAGTGTGTATAACAGAAAGGTGAAGATAACTATTTGCTGTACAGTATTGTATCAACCATTGACAGTAAAGACTCAACACACAGCCAATGTATTTACCTACAAAACTCCTGTCCCCTCTCTTGCCAGTGTCCAATATTTGCTTCTGAATTTATACATTTTAATACTAACAATTCACATATTACAAATGAATACCTTGGATACATATGGAGATTAAAAACAGAAACTGGCAAATTACAGAAAATTGGAAAATCTTTCATGTGAACCACCATTATACTTTATTTTCAATTTTCTAAAACGAATTTTTACTGTATGGTAGATCTCAAATGTTATGAATAATTATAAAAGTCTCCCAAAGTCCCATTCTAACCTAATGATGCCTTATATTTTACCATTTTGATAACAGCTACCTTCATACGTTTCCAAACCTATTTAAAGGAATATTTAGAGAAGAGTCCATTATATCGAGGGTCCATTAGATGTGAAACCTCCATCTGATAGATTATATGGAGAGAAGTTCATTATATGGAGGTTTCACTGTACAATATATAATTTTTATTTTCATGTTATAATTCTTCTCCAAACTCTGTGTATTTATCTTTAATTTCTGCCTTAAATAGAATCTTAGTGCCTTTACTTCATGTACTTGTATATTGTTTATGTCTTCCCTGTAGTTGTCTGTCACCATCACCATTTTGTTTTCCTTTCACAAATGTTTCTTTTGTATATCTATACTGTACTATATTAATTTTTATTGTTATTTTTTCTAAGTCCCACTTCTTCTCCTTTCTCTTTAACATTTATTGGTGTTTCAATGTGGTTTATGTCTGGTCTGCTTTTGTCCTTTAAATTTTTACCAATTATTCTTCAAGTCTTTCTAACAATACTGAACATCTGTTTTGGGGGAAACTTTTGTATTCTTTCTGTCTCAGTATTATTAAGCCTGTTCCACAGTCTGCACTTGGGTTGGTCTCAGTTTAAGTAACTATGTTTTGAATTTTTTTTAAATAATGTTTGATTCCTAACAAAAGTATTTTCATTATCCTCATATGGCAAATTAAAGAAAAATTTTGATGTAAATTTATTAAATCCTAAGATATATAGGTATAGCCTTTAACATTTTAGTGGATTTAACAATGGTGTACAAAAATAACATTACTGTAAGAAATCACGTCATTATTGGAGGCAAACTAACAATACATTTATACCAGTAATTTGTTAACTAAGTATCTTGAGAATACAGTACCTCAATACCAAAGACTAACTTCCAGCGGCCCTCGCCCATACCCGGGTTTTGAGGAACAGCCTTCATAATTCAGAAAATCTGAAAATGTAGGCATTCAGAGGTTCAGCAACTTGCCAACACTCACAAAACTCCTACACTGGTCCGATTTCTGCAGTCTTGGTCTTGAAGATTGGTAACTTGCTGCTATCAGCATATAACCAGGGGCAGTGTGCTCACACACACACACCCAAAATGAGATAGTCACTAATCTGTGATGTGTAGGTATATGGTCACAATTAATGTAAACATAATAGAAGTACAATAAGTTAAATAAAAAAACAACATGATACATTACACCAAATAAGAATTAATAGCAAGACCATAATAATGAACTCCACAATGGATCATGCAACAATGATCTAAAATATCTCATAGCAAATGTGTTAAACTGATACACGCTGCCCCTGGTTAATTAGCTAAAGGCAGCAGTAATTAACCTCAGCAACCCTGTGCGTCGACAGCCTTGCCCGACCTCTTCGTAATGTTCAGTGTCGTGAAGATCTGTAAGGCGAGAAAATCATCGTCAGTACTTTTCCGTCAACCATCCCAATTACCGTACCTACCAATGGGTTAAAACAAGCAGACGTCTGTCAATTCATCTATCTTCCAATCTTAGATTATATTTACCTCTGCAGTAGTGGGATGGATGCCAATAAGGTTGTCAAAGTCAGCCTTGGTGGCCTTCAGCTTGAGGCCCAGACCAAAGCCTTGAGTAATCTCGCCAGCGTTGGGTCCCAGCACATGGAAACCCACCACCCGCTCCTGTGGGGGAATATAGAGTGTCATGTGGCAGCTGTTTATTATCATCTATATCATCATCATCTCAGGAATAGGTCATTGAAAGTCTCTTCTTAAATATAGAATTACAACAGAGATTTTCACCCAGTACCTACACCTCTGATACAAACCTTCCCACATCATCATCAGAAAGAGCAGAGGCAATTCCTTCTTTTTTTTTTTTAATACCTTAAATGCCTCTCAACAGTAATGACTGATAACACTGAACACTTTGGGTGATGGCTTAACTACCAGTTGGATAAACACTTTCCAATACGCATCTTAAACTTCTTGGCAACTATTTTAATGAATATTCATATCCTATAGAAGAAAAGTACTCCTTCATATCAAATCCTCATATATTGTACAGTACTTTTATCTTTCTACTTAATTTTTTTATCACCATCTTTAAAGCAAACTTTGATTTTATTTATTACATATAAACATTAAACCATGAATTAAGTCCCCAGCTTCTAATTCACCAGAAATAATTAAATTAATTTGCTCAATACATATGAACTGTATAATATGACTGAGGTCTGCAAAGCACTCAGATATAAATGTTCAAAAGACTGTATTTATTCTGTAATGAAACAAAGAGCTGTAAGTTAGAGAAGCCACTGAAGAACTGGATAATTAGGTGCAGTACAGAGCCACCATCCACAACACTACAGACTAAACTAAGAAATTACACTTACATTTTCGCTCTTGACGCAAATAAGTTTAGCATAGCAGTCATTTTCTGGGCGGTGAGCAATGGTGTACTCCAGAGGCTGGTAGTTGGAGTGATAGACCTCGATGTCATCCTCGCCGTACTTCTCAATGGCCGTCTCCTCGGACAGGCCACAACAACCATATTCCAGGGGTGTGAACACAGTCGTTGGAACGTTAACATAGTCAGTCAGCAGTTTGCCATTACCATACAAGCGCTGTGGAAATATGAAACAATTTCTTTAATTTCTGTAAGTCCTCTCTCTCACCCTAAAGCACAGGTTGGTCACACCAAGAAACATGGGAAAAATCAGGCACACACTTTTAAGATCCATAAACTGTTTTAAATCCAAAAAAATCAGACAATCCTCCCTAATTCCTCCAATCAACAAATTCAATGACACTACTAAGCCAGGAGGATAATCTTTTATACAATTGTGTTATATGGAGTGTGTTACCTACAAGGAACTTTCTACAACAGATGGATTACCTCTGTCACCTACTCATAACTCCTACAGAGCAATAATAAAAAAATCAACTTCCTCTAATGCAATAATTCCATTTCTGTGATGTGGAGTAAGACTCACCTTAGCCAGAAGCCGGCCTGCCTGGATGGCCACTGGAGTCAACTCGAGTCCACCTTCAATTATGTCACCCACAGCATAGATGTGAGGAACAGACGTCTGTTCTTCCTTGTTCACAACCACTTTTCCACTTCTACAAAATGAAGAGAAACAAACTTTTCAATAAAGAATTTAAAAAAAGAAATGTTTCAGATGATTTTATACAATAACATTCCTCACTTGTTCTTATCCAAGGCAGATGTGACTAAGAGTGAGCACCTGAGATGTTTGTTATGGTGGTGATGATGATACCAGCACTTATAGGTCATGTAAATCTTGTGAAGTTTGTACCATTACTGAAAAAGCTCATATTGCAATAGAATAGATAAAGCTGCAACAGATCAACCAAGGTCTTCAAATGCCATATATACAGAGGCAGGCACTGTATAGATCCATAATTACTCTACAAAGTCTACATTATTAAACTGTGTAAATTCATATTGTTATTACTGTCCTGTACTACATCATTATCTACATGTGTATGACAGTGACTACAATTAATGCCAAACTTCAATAATAAAAACAATACAAGAACTATTTGATGAGTAAAGGTAGAACTCACTTGGCCATCTCTACGTTGATGTCATGTAAGCTGATGTCAGCAGTGCAGGGGTCTCTACCGATGGCCACCACCACTGTGTTATATTCATCGGTTATTTCCTCCCCGTCGGTGGTCTTGGCTGTCACTTTCAACTTGCCTGGTGTGCCTTCCTCCACCTGTTGTATTACACCAAAGTTGTCAGCCAGTTATGACAAACACACCACAGTCAGCCAGTCATGACAAACAAACCACAGTCAGTTATCCAGTTATGATAAACACATCATAGTCAGCCACTAAATTTCCTATTGTTTTGTTAATTTCATACAGTATGTTACTGAAATACACACAATCTAACGTACATGAAACAAAACCGCTCATATCTCGAAACACGAGTTTGGTTCATTTGCCCCTCTTGCCCCCATGAATGTCCCCTCATTGATTATAAGAGGTCTCAATAAAAACAAATTCTCACGCACTAACCTCTTCAACAGATGTCGGTACAGCACCACGGATAAACTTGACTCCGTTCTTCTCCATGAACGCCCCAATGTTCTCTGCTATTTGCTGGTCAAAGCCACGCAGCAGGATGGACCTCACCTGTACGCGAACAATAGCGTTAATTTTACATCACAACTTCTGTCATGTTTTGCTAAATCATCAATTAACGTCTACATGTGATATAACAGAAACTTGTACTATTTCTCACACTGAGCCACCTACCATCACCGTCGTGTCATAGCCGAGCCCAGCGAGGAAACCTGCACACTCGAGGGCGATGTAGGAAGCCCCCACCAGGAGAGTTTTCCCAGGAGGGTGAGGTAGTGAGAATATATCGTCAGAAGTGATACAATGCTCTTTAGCGCCTGGAATGTCAGGGTAGCGAGGACGTCCGCCCATCGCCAGTAAAAACTTATCTGATGTGATTACCTTTTCTTTGCCCCGGCGGTCCACAGTCTGGAAACACATACAATACAATTTTAATCTTTTACACCTCCTCTAACATCTTGACTATAGATGTAGTTAACAAATGTGTGGTGAGACACTTTGAATATTTTGGAGAAGAGCCAACTTAACCTTTATACAGTATGATGACAAAACATTCTGGTGTCAGGATAAATATATCAACATGATGACAGACACAGGACAAACTGCACCAATGAAACTTTATTATGGAAATGTCATCAGAGTGAAATTTGTCTATTGCTTGCTTGACAAAGTTTTTCTACTGATCAAACTTCCTCAGTCAGCAGCAGCCATCACACAAGCACACTGTTGGTCTTACTCTGTTTTCTCTTTATTTCTTAAACAAAATTAAAATCATGGCCAGATTATGTTTAACGATGCACTCAGTAGGTTAAAAAGAACGATGGCCGATATTGTTTCTACGATTTCAGCAATTACAGTATTCATGGACATCATTGTCAATAGTTACAAAATATCATACTTTAGGTCAGTACTGTATTAACCATGTCCTCAACTGTAACATCTTCACTTCACTGTTATACCCCATCCAAAACAAAGGCCTGATAATACAACATACACGATAACATCAACATACCTTAAGGGTGTGCTCGTCCGTGAACGTTGCGTAGGCGTTGAGGTAAGTCACCTTCTTGTCCCTGAGGGCGACACGGTAGCCCCAGTTCAAGGATCCTATGTGGCTCTGGATCCCCTCCACCATCTTATTCCAGTCGTGAGTAACTGTCTCCGGCGTCACCCACCCGTACTCCCGGGAATCCTGAAGTTGTGCAACGTGACAATTACTGTACTGTACTTCTCTTTAACCTGTGGCAAATATTATTCTCTCTCAACGAGGCCAGACTACAGAACAGGGCAGACTCATCCTACAGTAATATGTTGTAGCTTATACTATTAATAATTTGTAAAAACAAAACACTAATAATAATCCCACCAACAACACTAATACTAACACACCTGTAATAACTAAGGACACCTGAACTATACCTTCCTATACTAAATAAACAGATATCATTAAACCTTGAGTATGATGACCAAACTTCCTGAGTACAATGATGTAATCTTTAAGAGTACTGTACAATGAATAAATCCTGCGAGTACAATGTCTTGACCCCTTCAATATCATAATTAGTTTGTGAGTAAGACGATGTAAAGTAAGTCATCATACTCAAGGGATAAATCATCATACTCCAGGGATAAGTCATCATACTCAAGGGGTTAAAGGTAACAGACAAAGACAAACCTTCAAGTCATGGCCGAGTATTGCCGCCTGATGCATCAACTTCTTAGGGATGCAGCCAACGTTGACGCAGGTACCACCCAGGCCCCAGGTGGTGCCCTTTGGGGTTGGCTTCACGAAGTCACACACGGCGACTTTAGCTCCGAGATCTGCAGCATGTTTGGAGGCTGCCAGACCCCCAGATCCACCGCCGATAACAACCTGTTGGGCAAAGATTTGAAGAAAAATTATGCTTGGAACTTCTGCACTTGGTGAAGCAAAAATTAGTATGTGAAATGCACTGGTAATAAAAATACCCAAAAAGGAACACAAAACACAGTAAAAAATTTCAGCAACATCCTCCACCGTGCTCCATGACATCACGTGGTGAAGAGGAGTTTACGTCACTCAACTCGTTCAAGGTCCCTTTATGATATCTATATTACCCGTGAGTTTGATGTACAGTACAGTACTAATTTTTACTTCAAGTGTGGAAATTATTAGAGGTCACACAGTAAAGTTATAATCCCTTAAACTATCAGAATATAAATACAATACATTAAATATTTGTAGTGTAGTGACTCTTCAGGTGTCTGTCTGCCAGCCAATCAGCTGCTTTGCTACAGACTGACCCACAGACCTCATTTGTAAAGTTAGAGTCAACAGACTACAGGTGTGTGGTTATCCATTAAGGTTCTATACTACGAGTGTGTTGACAGAACACTATTTATATTAACATCTTTATGCTCACTGACTTCAAAATACTGTAAATACAAGATGAGAAAAATTCCATTATTTAGATAACAATACTAATGATCCTCAGGTGTATGAGTGTGTGTGATAAGTGACTTCAGTTATCAATCCTGTATCTCATGTTGTTATGTTCATGTGATAAGTTTATTGGTACATTGCAGTACAGTTCTTACCAAGTCATAATCATAGGTGTGGTCTGACTTATTAATTAGGGGTAATAGTTCTCCTTTGGCATGAGTGTCAAAGGTCTTGTCTGCTCCTCCTAAATGTTCCCCATTGATGTAGACGTTGGGCACTGTCCTCTGGCCGGATATCTCTGTCAACGCATGCTGTACCTCCGACCCATTTTCTGCAAAAACAACTCTCCTCTTTATTTCCATCACTAAATGAACAATATATGTTGGATAATATAAATTAAATAAACATTTCAATCAAAAAATAAATCCCCCTTCTCTCTGGATTTTTTCCTGCTATGATGTATGCTGGTTGGGTCCAAGAATAAACAGACCTTGACACAGTAGTTGCTGCAGTTCTTCCAGTCTTCCTATGACAACATGTAAACAAAATATGTACAGAATAACTAATACCAGTGAAGGAAATATCCATAAATGAGTCCCAATGTTTACTTATAATATCTGTAAATACTGTATAGCTCCTATAGGCTGCTATATATAAACTGTAGCTATTAGATGGTGTCCTTACATCACAAAATCTGGCAACAATTCAAATAAATTATAATTATTTTACACTGGAAAACCTGAAGGCATTGAACACACGCCCACAGTGAATATCCTGAAAGCTGATAGCCATCTAAAAACAACCTTTTCCCTTCTTTGTGACAGACAAAGACACCAACGAAGGAACACGTCTGACCTCACATTGCGACTTTTCATGAACCAACCCAGTGTGTCACGATGATCCACTGAAACATCACTTGACTTGAGACAGGATAGATAGATCTCCAATAGTGTGAATATACCCAAGATAGATCTCCAATAGTGTGAATATACCCAAGATAGATCTCCAATAGTGTGAATATACCCAAGATAGATCTCCAATAGTGTGAATATACCCAAGATAGATCTCCAATAGTGTGAATATACCCAAGATAGACCTCCAATAGTGTGAATATACCCAAGATAGATCTCCAATAGTGTGAATATACCCAAGATAGATCTCCAATAGTGAATATACCCAAGATAGACCTCCAATAGTGTGAATATACCCAAGATAGATCTCCAATAGTGTGAACCCAAGATAGATACCCAAGATAGATCCCAATAGTGAATATACCCAATAGTGAATATACCCAATAGATATACCCAAGATAGATCTCCAATAGTGTGAATAATACCCAAGATAGATCTCCAATAGTGTGTGAATATACCCAAGATAGATCTCCAATAGTGTGAATATACCCAAGATAGATCTCCAATAGTGTGAATATACCCAAGATAGATCTCCAATAGTGTGAATATACCCAAGATAGATCTCCAATAGTGTGAATATACCCAAGATAGACCTCCAATAGTGTGAATATACCCAAGATAGACCTCCAATAGTGTGAATATACCCAAGATAGATCTCCAATAGTGAATATACCCAAGATAGACCTCCAATAGTGTGAATATACCCAAGATAGATCTCCAATAGTGTGAATATTTGTATTAGCCAGCTGGGTTTTGTGACAAGCCAGTGAGGATACTACCAGCACTGGCCCACACATGGTACCAGTCACACGTTGTTTCTTCCAAGAAGGCTCGTACCTGCCAAGAACAGAGAGCCAGGTTTGTACAACAATAATTCTACCCAAATCAAAGTATTGTACTGTCGAGCTTCCTTCAAAAAATTCAGCTCTCCTTATGTAGTATGACAGTATGTAAAGCAACAGGCAAGATGAAACACAAGCAAGCACTTCTTTTACCATGCACCACTATATGTTTCTTTACTCCTTTGTACTGTACCCCCAACAAGCACCCTTACTGTGGAGTAAGCATGACCCTGACAGATATAAACCCATGACTCACACAGCAGGAGTTAGGGTTATGTCACGTCCTCCACAAAACCTTTCCTTCTTCACCACCATTACCAACCAACCAACTGCTTCAACTTCCAACTCTCTCCTTATAAACAGAAGTTAATCATTATTCTCCAGCTGATCGGCTATTTTGGGCTTTTCACATTTTCTTGCACTTTTCCGTCCTGTAATAAGTAGGTCAGAATAATGAGCAAAAACCTGGGTAGGCTGATTGACACCACCATTAGAGGGAACTATGACAACTATTGGTAGAGGCTCAATATTTAGTAACTTGAAAAGGTAATAAAATTATTTTCTATACAGTAACTATACTTTATACAGATGTGGTATACACAGTAAATTATAATGAAAGAGTGAATGACGGTAATTTTCATCCCTGTCAAAATTTCCACGTTGAACTGAAGCCATAAGTAAGGTTCAGATGAATAAAACACGGATTACTGTATCATGTTGTACTATGTGCAGGTAATCTTGGTGTGGTGCTCAGGGGAATCTTTACTTCAATCCACAATCCCTTCACCATGTCTTAACCCATAATTCTATATTTACGGTAAAAAACGCAAAAAAATCCATAGTCAACACTGAGTAAAGAGTGGTGAAATATCCTGTCAATTTGTCGTGGGTTATCCCAGGCATGCCCACACATATCCTGGACACATTGTTTACAGCTGTGGCACTAATCTAATCTCAAAGCTGCATACAATAATACCCACAATAACCATTACTGATACCCATTTCTATGGTACAGTTGAGGTTAAGTAAACATGTATATACAAACTCGTGCTTAAATAGTTTCCCATCCAGCGTGTTCGTGGAAATAAATAAATAAATCCACAGAAAAATACCAAAATAAAAATCTACGCTGACAACTTCTCTCTCTCTGTTATAGTTATCAAAGCTTCAAGGCCAAGGGAAGTCACCCAGATACACACAGCTGACACAAGGGTTCATGATAGGTATAACTCACACCTTTATTGTATAGGTACAGCAGCCACAAGATTCTCCCACACTATCATGCTGAAAAACTTATTATTTTATTATTGGGAGACAGCCAGGAATAACACACAGCTACCACCTTCCAACATTAACAGTGACACAGACATACACAGGACCACCACCTCCTAAGATCAACAATGGGCATTTCACCTCACCTATTTGGTCAAGCTCCAGAGTTGTGTACTCCACATTTAACTGGTTCAACAGGTCCTTCACCTGAAACATTAAAAAAATGCTTAAATTAACATAAAATCTTGTCCAAAATTTAAGTACAGCACCACACTCGCCCCAGACAGTCGTCACGGAAGGGTCCAATGAATTTAAAAATGAACGCCGTGACTCCTGCTGTCAAAATCTTTCGTCCAGTGTGTCATGTTGTTTGACACAAAATGGTAAAGCCACTTTTTGGAGTGAGTGTACACCTGTATACTGTACACTGATAAGAAACATGTTCACACTTGATCATAAGGAAGAATCATTCTGTTCGCCAAAGGAGAGTTTCTGTGGAAGGTTGAAAGACTTGCATCCCATTTACTGATATAAACCATCTGGCAGCCACTAGTATAAAAAAATATCATGTTACTTATTTCAGAATCTCTACCAAGATATTATCACCAGAGAATCTTACCTTACAAGATTCATATAACAAGTCATTTTCTGAACAGTTTTCCCCTTCAAGTAGTGAGTTTTGGGAGAGCAACCTCAAACAACACTCCTCACATAGCTACTTGTATCAGCTTGATCAAAGATATATTAATTTACGATAAACTATTTCTTGTTTCGCCCTGGCAAGCCCTTTTGTGACAGGTGCCGGGTGACTATACTGGAGAGCAACACACACACTCTCCCTTTATTGGAGGACACTTAATTGTTCTGAATGCTCAAAGGAAAGTAAAGACAATTAAGTATATGTATGTTAAATGATCATATACTGTACTGTACATCTAGGCTTGTTACTTCATAATTATAGGATAATAACTTGATGATGAAGCTCTGTCATGACCATGTTATTAAGGCCTTGTGTGGTATCAACAAAAAGTACACACTTGTTGTTGAGAAGGACTACATAAACACACATAATCACTTTGAAATTGGAGATTTGCCTAATGCTGTACACGAGGCAATTCCTTCATAACTACGATGACGTCATCTGTGTGAGAGGTCCTGCTCCTTAAACAAAGATGACTAAAATACCAGTACATATATCTCACTTGTTTTCTGGTTAACGTCAGACGACTGTATTCAGCACAGATGGACCCACATCCACGAGGGGTCAAGAAGATTGTTGATGGGGGTGTCAAGTTGCCCAGATGTTTTGAGTGTGGAAGGAGGCCATTTTATGCATTAAATATGAGCTACTGTATTTCATGATGTACAATTTATGTTGTACAATTAGATTTAGTATTATAGCAATAAGGACATTTTCCTGTTTTTAATGCTTGTGATCTCCAAGAATGTATCATACGCTAATAACAATACAGTAGTGTATAAGTTCTATTTCATGTAAAAATGATATCTCCATTAGCCGGAACAATAGGTGCAGAGCACTTCCGGGAATGAGAGATTTACGGGTAACTAGACGACGCTCTCAAAGCCGGAAAAAATCCCTCATCCCAGGAATTTTCAGGTTAACGGAAGTGTTCTCGGAATTTCTGGAAAATGCACCTGATTTTCATTTTTCAAACCCGGAAAATATTCCTCTCCCCTCGGAATTTTCTGGGTACTGTACTGGAGAAATATTCTCAAAATTTTCCAGTACAAAGTTCCCAAAGCCGGAATTTTCTGAAAAATTCCTGTTTTAGGAACGATTTTCCGAAAAAATTAAATTCCAGCTACAGGTATTTGGAGAGTTCCAGGTTTGAGGGATTCCGGCTAACAGAGATGTTACTGTATTCTGGGCTCAATAAGCTTTTCCCTAGCCTCAGTTAATATATTTTCTGCTCATTCTTTTGGTCTGAAAATATATTAACTGAGGCTCAAAATACTTGTTTTTACATGAAATAGAGATGACATTTGGGAACCAGGGTCAGGGGGCTCACTAACAATTGTAAAAGTTCCTTCCCAAAATTACTAAATGCATCACACTTAACTAGAATTCGGTGCGAGGTAATTGAAAGTACAGTAGATGTATGTGCATGGGGTCCACTCTCTGCTGAATTTAATTGTCTAGTACAGTATTAGCCCAATAAAATACTAAATGTAACATCTCCGTGATGTCAGAGAGACAAAAATTAAGTCTTTACTCAGTTACTAATGTAGAACTAGTCATCATCAATGCTTACGAGTATTTTCTACACTTGCAAGAGTTAGCGGCGAGTACTGTACCGCTCAGACTCTCTTTTTTATGCTTCTTAACTCTTAATGTCATCTTCAGGTAAATTAAGCTTGGGTAGGGAGAGGGAATCTTCAGGTAATTCAGGTACAGTAATCCCTTTTATGAATCATGAAAAAAAATATTTACAAATGTACACTCAGACAAAAATCCTAACCTAACGACTGAAAGCTGATAAGCATGTCCAGAACAAATACAATATACTACAACAAAGAAAAACTGGTATTTGTTTACGTTAACATAAATCAAGTCTTTTATTCTTGTACAGCGAACATTTCTGATCACAGCCGGGGCTGGCTGGCTGTGTCCTGTTTGTGGTGACTCTTGATGACTTGGCACAGACGCAGCAGCTAATGGTTAGGTTAAGTTTACTGAACTAGAATTAGGTTATATTAGGCTAGGTTAGGTTAGGATGAATGATAAATTGTATAAGGTAACAGCTTCTGGGATAATTATTTAACAAACACTGGCATGAAAAACATTTTGTAAAGAAGGTTCAGGTCCTTCTGGTTTCTCTGGTTTAGTTAGACATGTGTAATGATATTGTGTCACTTTTGAGTGTTTTTACCCAAAGTTGGTAACAGAGAGGTTATACTCATGTGAAACACAGTGAAAAACACTATATTTTTTAAGGCATTTTCTGTCAATTATCACTATGGATTATTTAAAAAAAATTGTTCTATCTCCACATATAAAATTTAGAATAGCTTCGTTGTTTGTCATTACCGAATATCAATTGATTACGGAAAGATGTTAGGTTACGTTAAATTACGGGTGCGATGTTAGGCGCTAGGATTAAGAGGTTACATTATATTATGGCTGAGGAGTTAGGATTAAGAGGTTACATTATATTATGGCTGAGGCGTTAGGATTAAGATGTTACATTATATTATGGCTGAGGCATTAGGATTAAGATGTTACATTATATTATGGCTGAGGCGTTAGGATTAAGATGTTACATTATATTAGGGCTGAGGCGTTAGGATTAAGATGTTACATTATATTATGGCTGAGGCATTAGGATTAAAATGTTAGGTTAGGTTGGCATAAAACTGTCTATTGAGCAAACTATAAACCTCACAATGGCTTATTCTAGTCATCATACACACTCTAAAATGATTCAAACTTTTTTAACACTTTCCATGTGATTCCCACCTTAACATTTTATTGGTGAATAACTAATGCTCACCTGTAATTATGTTAGATAATTTTAAGTTCATTCTGAGTATTTGAAAAATACTTAGTCAGTTGATTTAATTGTAGGAAACATTTTAAATCATAATCAAGGACATAGTCAATCAATTCTCCTGAGTATAGGAAATATTTAGATTCAACCAGTTTATACTTGATTATAATAAATATCGAATCAATGCAGCTAAGACAACTATATAGGAAACAAATCAACATTACAAATATATATATCAGCTTAATAGGTAAAACAAAAAATTACAATAAAGTCTCACAAGGAATTTCTCACGTGATAACCAAGACATTAAGACGAGACTTACTTTATGGCAGAAGGGGCAGTAGGACTTGCTAAATACCATCACTTTATTCTCCTTGATGGAATTCTCGACCACCTGTAAAGGGGTGAGGCCCTGGGTGGTGATAGGAGCCATGGTGGAGTAGGATTCCGACCCTACCACCCTCAACCCAGCACTGCTACAAACCCCCACTGTTCCTTTTCTTCCTTCTCCTCTCACTATTAACTTCCTTCTTGATAATTCCCGGCTCCAGGATGACTCGACTGCTAGAAGAGGTGATGTGAAGGGTGCAAGACGTGTGGTATTAGTGGTACATGTACGGTAGGAGCGAATTAATAACGAATACCTCAACGCTCGGGGTAGTAAGGCCGCCACACCACTCATAGCTGCCGGACCTCACTAGCTCCCCTTCACCACTCTCTACTCTCTCCCCAGTCTCTTGTATAACAACACCCCTACTTATATACTTGATAAAAACATTAAAAAGGCTACTTTATGAACTTTTAATAGTATAAAATCATCCAATAGAGATTAGTATTAATTTTAAAGGAATAATTTCAATCTGCCGGTAACCCCAAACTCCTTCCCAGTGTTATTGACGACATACCAATTGTGTTATGCAGTTTATGCAAGGTCATGCTGATAGAAAGGTGTTTTATTTTTCTGTTACATTGGGATATCCTTATCTAAAATATATTCATTTATCGCCATTATCTCGGTTATTATCTTATCTGTGTCACAAGTCCACGGTGAAAAGTGTTTAAGAGATAATGTCATATGGCAGCACCATGGCGCAACTGATGGTTTACCTGAGTCATAACACTGAGGAAAGATAGAATATATATATATATATATATATATATATATATATATATATATATATATATATATATATATATATATATATATATATATATATACCATAATTTACATAAACGCTTTAATTTTATGTATGTATGTATAAAATTAAAGCGTTCACATAAACTACGGTATGTTATCTTTGTTTTTTTGTCTCAAAATGGAAATAATGGAACAGAAACCAATATGCAGTACTAAGGTTCCTAATAATCCTGAAATCCATTTATTTTTATAAATTTTTGCTAATAACCTACAATAATTGACTAAAGTTCCATTATCTGAACATTTTGTTTTTAAAATATCTTTAATATAATCTCTGTGCTGAATAATAATAATAATAATAATAATAATAATAATAATAATAATAATAATAATAATAATAATAATAATAATAATAATTATTATTATTATTACTATTATCATTATTACAACCCGATTCTCAAGAATCTTATCATTACAATCAATAGTTCAGAAATTTCTAAGACACTTTTCTTCTACGAAGTTCCCGCGCAAATAATGACTTTTTATATAAATATTATTGTTATTGTTATTGTCAGCCATTTAATTAAAGTGAGACTCGGATGGTCTCTCTAATGCTACGATAACACCTTTAAATTCATTCAAAGTTATTTAATTAGCGCATTTAATCTCATTCAAAGTTATTTAATTAGCGCATTTAATCTCATTCAAAGTTATTTAATTAGCGCATTTAATTTCATTCAAAGTTATTTAAGTCCTGCCTGAAACTGTTCATTTATGTCTATTTTCTATGATACAATTAAAGAAAACAAAACTGTAATATGGGTAACTTCTTTACTTTTTTATTACAGTTGTCACTCAATCAGTCAGAGTACTGTCCTCATGTCTGAGATTTGGCGACCACACTCTTCCACTCTAAAAGTTCTCGGGCTGTTTTTAACAATCCTGTAAAATTATTATTTTTTATCTCTCTTGGGGACCCAGTTTTTAGTTTCATTCATTCATTCATCCTAGTCTCTGCCTTCCCCTGACCACCCTGCCCATTAATATTTCTGTTATTATTCCCTCAGCTATAATTATATTTTAAAGGCCCCTAACTTCTTTCTGGTGTATAAAGTGTCCACGCTTCTTCCCCATACAATAATCCTTGCCATATAAAACCTTTCAGCCGCCTTTTTCTCACACTGAAGATAATGTCCCTCTTCATTAGGTCTTTTAGATTATTTAATGCTATTTTTGCTTGACCTGTTTTTGTTTTGATTTCTTCCATACATCCACCATCACACCTAATGTTACTTTACAGCATTAAAGTTGTAAGATAAAGCAATCATCTTCCTTTAGTGTACTTTGTTTTATCTTCTTCGCCACTGATTGGCCTGTTAGCAGCTGGGGAGGTTGGTCACGTCTCTGTTGGATAGTCAACGACGTTATCACTCTAAATCAAGCAGTCAGAGAGCGCACACATATTACAACCTGGGTGACGTCAGCAAGGCCTACATATAGCCTACCGTGAAAATGTGAGTACTTAAGTACCGTTAGTTTTCAAGTGTATTCCAGCCTTCATGTCGATATAAAAAAAGTCAACTTTGTCATCAACTTGGAATGCCAGTGACTCAGGTGACCCCGCTATCATAGTGTTGTTTGTTATAGTGAGACTTAACTTTATAAATTTAAAAGTAAGTATAATTACTTTAGAGAAGTAATTTGTGCTTTATACTTTGACCTTTTCTTTGTTTCTATTTGGTTCTTTATTATTCTCAGCAGTCGACCGTCACCATCGGGCTCGGTGACCTGTACTTGATCGCTGTCCTAATGTTAACTTTAAACACCTAAGTATTTCATCTATACTCAGTATATATATATATATATATATATATATATATATATATATATATATATATATATATATATATATATATATATATATATATATATATATATAGTATCCACTATCATTCATGGGATAAGAAAAGAGTTCGACAGGAAATTATGTATAATTATACTAATAACAACAACAATAATAATAATAATAATAATAATAATAATAATAATAATAATAATAATTTATCTTAATTTACATCGAGAGCATGGTGGGTGGGGAGGAGGAGGGAGGAGGTGTCAAACGAAAGACAGGAGTCTACAGCAACCAGTCCTAATAGTTGAATGGGTACTGGTTGCTGAGGACGCCAGCAGAAGTGAGTTTGGCCGCAGCTTATTCTCGAATAAAAAAGGAGAAGAAATGAGGAAAGATTACTTGACACAACGCTGACGCACATTGTGTTCTCAGAAGAGTGTTTTGGAAACAAATTGTCAAAGCTAAAGGTTCATAAGAGTCCCGGCTCTAACAGAGTGCTTCCCAGAGTGCTAAGAGAAGTTGTGCAACGAGCTTGCTGAGCCCCTGAAGATCCTGTTCTGCAGATGCCTGGAGGAGCAAAAGGTTCCCGATGACTGGAATATGGCTTATGTGAGTCCTATGTTCAAGAAGGGTGATTGTCACGCCACAAATAACTATAGATCAGTGAGCCTGACCAGCATAGTATGTAAAGTACTTGAGAGCATTATAAGAGATGCCATGATGGAACATGTACTACGAAACAACCTTGTAAAGGATTGCCAACACGGTTTTATGCCGGGGCGCTCCTGCTTAACACAAGTACTCAAGGTCCTGGATGTTTGGACCCAAATTCTGGAACGGGGTGATAACATCGACAATATACAGTAGACCTAGATTTTGCCAAAGCTTTCGACAGAGTACCCCAATGAAAGGCTGAAAATTAAACTGGAAGGGTACGGGATTTGAGGTTAGTGTCCTAGCGTGGATCGGAGACTTTATACAAGACAGCAAACAATGATGTGTGGTGATTAATGGCACGAAATCGTCATGGGTACCCATAACAAGCGGGGTACCACAGGGCACTGTACTGGCAAGCCCGGATTATCCATTAGGCACAGTAGGCACAGTGCCTAGGGCCTACGAGATATTGGGGGCCTACGAAAAATAAAACGAGAACTTTTCTTCCCCTTTTTCTACAGGTTATTATTAAATTGATACTGAGGTACTTTTTTTCCATTTATTTATTACTTAATCCTATTAGTGTCCACCAGCTAGCTGTGCTTCTTGTAAACAAAACTATTTCTGTACTGTACAAGAACAGCTGATCTAACCCATTTTCTTTTACTCAATTCATGGCAAACATCACTGAATCTTATTCTTTCGACATCACATTTTATAATTAGGTACTAGCTTGTGTTATTAGTTAATATGCTGTCAAATGGGGCCCCATATCTTGGAGGTGCCTAAGGCCTACGAAAGTCTTAACCCGGCACTGTGTGCTGGGCCCGTTGTTGTTTGTTTGTTGCATAAATGACATGCTGGAAACTATACACTTGGAACAACCTGCCAGAGTGTTGTGACACCACCGAGTGTGAGCTCTTTCAAGACCAGACTTGACCAACAATAAAGTAGGTTCAGGTACATTCAGGAGCCGGTGCATGCCCGGTTCTTGCCAACAGTGTTTAACTGAGACGTGATCGACCGCCCAAGCGGCTAACGAGCCGATCATTGGCGAAGATGATAAAGTATAACAGTGCCTGGCGTACAGTAAAGCATCTCACCATCTGCACAAACTTAAGAGAGACCAACCTTCGCGCGCCGCTCGCTGCCTGTAGTGATGTTTTGTATTACAAGTGTATGGATATAATGATATTAATAACAATAATAACAATGATAATAATCAATGAATAATAAAAAAAATAACAATGATAATAATAATAACAATAATAACAATGATAATTAATAATAACAATTATAACAATGATAATAATAACAATGATAATGAAATATATAACAATAATAACTGATAATAAGAGCACTAACAAGAATGATGACAATCCTGCTGCTACCACTAATGAAATAACAACAACAACAACAACAACAATACTACTACTCCTACTAATAATAATGGTTACCTAACACTGAAGGTTACCATTTAATAAATTTATCTATATAATTGCATTTAAATGTATTAAAAAATCACAGATAATTACACATACACACACCTGTAGTATTCGGCTACAGTGTCGAAGGTGATCAATGTCGCAATGTTGGACAGATATCCCCAAACAAGAGTGGATAAAATAGAACATTGATCTTGTTAGGCCGCTAACCTAACGATTCTGTGGTAGTATTAGTTTGGTTTATGCTAGGCTAAGGTTAGATCAGGCTTAGTTTTAAGTTAGGAAAGGTTAGGTTGGTTTATTTCACCCGAAAAATTAGTTTAACAGTTTTGTATCAAGTCACGTTGTCTAACTTCGGATTTTCAGATTTGTAATTGAAAAATTGTCTGTTAATAAGAGAATAAATCTTTCCTAGAGAGAGAATGTCCGTGCAGTATGACCACCACTCTGGCCGCCATGTTAGTGTATTGGGTGAAATGATTCAGGTTGACACAGAGAATTTTAACCTACGATTCTGTAAAGACTTTCTGATGGCGTGTTCCTCCTTCCTTCAGCCGAAGAACATCCGCCTGGGGTGCTGCCGTCGTCTAGGGTGGAAGCGGGCGCCGTATGGCAGTATCTGGGAGGCTTCGAACTTCCGGTCAGGGAACGAGTGTGTACCAGAGAGAACCCGAGCCTGCCTGCCCCGGAGGTCCTCCTGAGGTAGGTCCAGCGTGATGGACGACGGAACGAGGGGGACCACCACTGGTTGCGGGATAAAGTCAGTGACGGGAAGGGAGGTGAGGTGGGTGAGGGCGCGGCCGTCTAGCAGGGGCGGCAATGCGGGCGGGGCCATCAATGCTGGTCTGGCCAGGGGTGCCGCCCGGGACGTGATGAGGTCCTCGGGATCAGCTGCACCAACACTCTCCCTAGACTGGAACGTGCGACTGGACTCAAAGTCATTGTTAAACTGAACGTCTTGGCTGGACCCCACAGTGATTAAGATACTATCGCCGGGCAACAACACGGGTCTTGTTTCTTCTGAGTTCCCTGATGGCTGCTGAGCATTATCGTTAAATAGGATTTCGGGATCATTTTCGAAATTTCCCTCAGACACAAATTCTAAATTGGGTTGTGAGTTGAGCGTTGATATAAACTCCGGGTTGGGCTGAAAGTCTTCACTGGTTAGAGGGTCTTGATTTACATTAAAAACTGGACTGGGCTGAAACTCTTGGCTTAGTGAGGCGTCGTGTGGTAACTGTAAACCTTGGTTGTGTGGTAACTGTAAACCTTGGTTGTGTGGTAACTGTGAACCTTGGTTGTGTGGTAACTGTGAACCTTGGTTGTGTGGTAACTGTGAACCTTGGTTGTGTGGTAACTGTGAACCTTGGTTGTGTGGTAACTGTGAACCTTGGTTGTGTGGTAATTGTGAACCTTGGTTGTGTGGTAACTGTGAACCTTGGTTGTGTGGTAACTGTGAACCTTGGTTGTGAGGTAACTGTGAACCTTGGTTGTGTCTCAGAGTTAACTCAGCGTTCTGTGGGTGAGAGTCGCCAAAGATGAACTTCACTTCATTTTCCTGAGTAATGACGTCTGCTTGTGGGACTTCCAGCGGCAGAGTGATGACGGAGGGGGACGCCAGAGTCTTGCCGGGGTTATCGAGCGAGGACTGAAGGTCATCGTCATCGAGGAGGAGTGTGGTGGTGTGCGGGGTGAAGGTAGACCTCACCACGTCATCGTTAGGCCCTACGATGAACACCACGTCATCACCTTCAGGAGGAACAGTGTTGTCCTGGATCACGGCGCCCCCCAGGGTGGTGGTGACGGCGGCGGGGTGGAACGCTGTCAGAGTGCCGTCAATCATGGCACTCACAAGAAAATCGTCAGCGGTAGTTTCTAGAACGTCTATGCTGTTGCCCTCGACGATGATGCTGCCGGGTTCAGGGGGACCGAAGTCTATGATCTGCACAGAGGCTTCGTCTTGTATGAGGGCGCTGAAGGTGGGCTGTAGTGGTGCTGGAGGGGACACACTCAGTTGACTCCTGATGGCCGTCACGGGGAGCACCGGAGCTTCTTGTTGGGAGAAGTACTCTGAAGGTGGAGGTTTCACAACGGCGGGCGATGTGCTGTCGGCGGGAGCGACGTTGCTTCTCGTTTGCGTCTCAGAGATGATATCGTCTGGGTGGGGAGGAGCATAGCCAGTAAGCGGTGTCTCAGAGGCGCGGACCAGTGCCGCATCATAGGTTGTTGAGACTGATGGTTCAACTACAGAGTTAGACCTGAGATCACCGAACCCAGAGTAATCAGAGGAAGGTTTCCGGGCGTGTGGCGAGGGCGTGGTAGGGACCCACTTGGCCACATACTCTGGCCTATCCTTGGGGAGCCAGCGAGGGAGGAAGACCGGCCGGGGAACATGGATGGGAATGTTGTCAATGTCTCCTCGGCCGAGCCACTTGAAGGAGCGACTGCGACCCGCAGGACGAATGATCAGGTTGATAAGGTTGTTACTGTAGCTCGCCAGAGTTAGGTCCATGGTTAGTAGGGAAGAGACCACCAAAAGAACCATCTGCAATCAAGAAGGAGTTAGAGTTAGTGGGCAGCGTCATGTACTGAAGAGGCAGACAGGCACGAGGAGGCAGGTTAGTTAAGCAACTATATACAGTATACAACTAGGTGAGGGAAGCTGCAGGTAGGTGTGTGTGTGTGTGTGTGTGTGTGTGTGTGTGTGTGTGTGTGTGTGTGTGTGTGTGTGTGTGTGTGTGTGTGTGTGTGTGTGTGTGTGTGTGTGTGTGTGTGTGTGTGTGTCCGTAAATAAGAGAGAAGGAGAGGGCAGCAAGCATTACAGTTGGGTGTAGGAGGTATGGCCAACACCACTATCCTGTACTACAGAGTTGGAGACCACGTCACTCTGGTGAAGGATGTCCTCCTTCTTGGGAGGCAGGAAGGTTGGGTCTGAGGTGGGGGGAGACTTTGAGGGCAGAAGGTACACCGAGGGGAGCTGGAGCAGGTGGGAGGGGTCCTGAGCAGACACGGTGGAGGCGAGGGGAAGGGGGGTGTTAGGTAAGGGGGCGGCATGGAGCGGGGGTGGTGGAGAACCTCCTGTTGTACCCGCCAGATGAAACCACTACAGAGTTCCTTGGAGGGCCAAAGCCTGGTGCAAGGTGGACGCTGGCGTGAGCGGCTTCCAGGCTGTGCCCCTTAGTGGGTGCGGGCGTGTGGGCCACCCAGAAGGCAGTGTAGGTGGGGTCCACGTGAGGCACCCACTTAGGGATGATATAGGGCTTGGGGACGTAGAGCGGCAGGTGGTCGGAGTAGCCGGCCACCCATTTGTGCTGCTTGCTGGGGCCCGCTGGTAACACCAAGTAGAGGGGCGGGTGCGCCGTAAGTCCCGCCCACGGTGCACGCCCACGTACACACCAACACCACTACCATACCCTGAAACATCATCATCATAGTTATCATCAGCAGCGGCTCTCCTCACCACAGCGGCTCACCATAGGACCTGAAACCTTACACAACACACAAGAGAAGGATGTTGTACCTTCCTCTCACCCCCACCCACCCTCACACACTTCCACTCACCCCTACACTCCCACTCACCCCCACACACCTGCCACCACCACACTCTCACCACCTCACACTCCCCACTCACCTCACACCCCCACTCACCCCTCACACTCACACCACCTCCCCACTCACCCCTCTCACTCCTAACCTAACCAACCGATATAGACAGATCGATAGAGTACAGCATATTACATAACCAGCCTGAGGAACGCATTTGATATTTGAGAGTGAAACTGTATCGTGATTTGGAATGATTATGAACCCACGCTATCACCCACCCACCCACATACATTACTCACTCAACATGGCCATCCATCCACCTACACCATCACCCATCCACCTACACCATCACCCATCCACCTACACCATCATCCACTCACCCACCTGGAAGGGGAGAGGTGGTGATGGGAAGAGGTGCCCAGGTGAGGGTGTTGGCTCTGGGTCGGTGGTGAAGGGGGGCTGGTAAATCCTCCTCCTGACCTTAAGAATAAGAGTTTCTCCCAGGGACTCCCCTCTCCCTTCCTTCTCATTCCCTACTTCCCCTACTTCCTTACTTTCCCTACTCTTCTAACTCCACAGAACACAATGACTGCTTATGACAGAGATTATGACTGTCACTAGCTCGTGTGCTGTCACGCTAACACTGTCACACTCCAGATACTGTACGCATTTAGAGAGAGAGAGAGAGAGAGAGAGAGAGAGAGAGAGACAATAACTCACCATAACATAAAACAACAACAACAGAAGCAGTCTGGTACACACAAACACGTGAGAAACACAACAGAAGGAGCGATGGGGGGAGGCGGAGGGAAAGTCGAGATGTTGTCACGACCACCTGTTAACATAACCAACAGCCCACACGCTAATAAAGATAAACAAACATAAAAACAGCAGAAAGTAGGAGAGAGAGAGAAGAAGGGAGAGAGAGAGAGAGAGAGGGGTTAGCATTGGGGAAAGTGGGATGGACGACAGAGCCATTTCTGCCGGAGGCCGAGAGCAACATTGACGTAAACATGACACAGTCTGTACCTCGTAACCCAGATTATTATAACACTTCTGTTGGTCTCACACGGGAAGAAGAATTACTATCTCTTAATACGGGAAGACTTACGTAAGGTGTGTGTCTGTTTGTCTGTGCTAGCCTGTGTGTGTGTGTGTGTGTGTGCGTGTGTCAGTCCAGTTACCTACATCCGCCCACACAGGAAGGAAAACCACAGAATTATGGCCACCGTACACCTGTTGATCAGTTCAGTTGGGGTAGGGTATTCTAAGAAACTATAGGATCTTATGGCGTGTACACTGACAACTACCTATGGTTTTGGTGGTTAGTGGCCACCTTTCTATTTCTTAGTTTCAAAATGTTTGTCTTTCTATCTTTCCTTCGCTATTCGCTCAGAAACGCCCTATTTTTTCACACGGACGCAGCCAATGAGACACACACACACACACACACACACACACATAATGAAAGTCACTTCCTCCAGTGTTTCCTTTTAATTGAATCAAGTCATTAAGGGTAATTATCTCTCAAGGTAATTTACGGTCTGAAGAAGTCACCCCTTGAGAGATATGACTTCGTTTTCTGTTATATTTTGTTGTTTACCTTTTTGTCGTAAATTTCACAGGAATCCGGACCTGCAGAGAGAGAGAGAGAGAGAGATCACAACTAGAGGTGGACAAATACCCAGGTTACACTGAGGTCTATTGGCACTTGTCTCTATCACAACTTACCTTTTAACTCTGTGACACATTAGAACTGCGATCTATTAGAAATTGGGCCTATTATGACAAAGGCCTACTAGCACAAGGGCTCATACAAGCACAAGGGCCTATTTAGAAAAGGGCCTACTTGGACACGGGGCCGGGTTGACTTGCACCACAGACCCCAGCAGACCTCAGTAATGGGCCTGATCATTACTATAAACTGTACTGGATACTAACTAGTTGTACCCGCAGACTGTTAGGTGTGTATCCCGGCCTCACCACTAGGCTACCACACACACCCCACCAACACACACACACACACCTCACCAACACACACACACCACCAACACACACACACACCCCACCAACACACACACACACACCACCAACACACACACACACCTCACAACACTCACACACACCACCAACACCACACACACCCACACTCACACACACCTCACCAACACTCACACACACACCACCACCCCACACACACCTCACCAACACACACACACCCCACCAACACACACACACACACACCAACTCACACACACACACCAACTCACACACACCTCACCAACACACACACACCTCACCAACACACACACACACTCCACCAACTCACACACACACACACCTCACCAACTCCACACACCTCACCAACACACACACACACACCTCACCAACACACACACACACACACACCCTCACCAAGTCACACACACCCTCACTAACTCCACACACACACCCCACCAACACACACACACACACCACCACCACACACACACACCTCACCAACACACACACACCCTCGCCAACACACACACACACCTCACCAACCCACACACACACCCCACACACACACACACCTCACCAACACACACACACACACACACACACCCCACCAACACACACACACACCTCACAAACACACACACACACCTCACCAACAGACACACACATCACCAACACACACACACACCCCCACCAACACACACACACACACACCCCACCACACACACACACACACCTCACACCAACACACACACACACCACCAACACACACACACACACACACACACACCCCACCAACACACACACACACACTCCCCACCAACACACACACACACCCCACCACACACACACACACCCCACCAACACACACACACACCCCTCACCAACACACACACACACCCCACCAACACACACACACCCCACCAACACACACACCCCACCAACACACACACACACACCACCAACACACACACACACCCCACCAAACACACACACCCCACCAACACACACACACACCTCACCAACACACACACACACACACACACACACCCCACAACACACACACACACCACCAACACACACACACCACACCACCACACACACACACCCCACCAACACACACACCACCAACACACACACACAACCCCAACACACACACACACACACACCCCACACACACACACACACCCCAACACACACACACACACACACCCCCACCAACACACACACACACACACCCCACCACACACACACACATCCACACACACACACACCTCACACACACACACACACCACCAACACACACACACACCCCACCAACACACACACACACACATCACCAACCACACACACACTCAAACAACAACACACACCTCACCAACACACACACACACACACACACCTCAACCTCACACACACACACCTCACAACTCACACACACCCCAACAACACACACACACCAACACACACACACACCCCACCAACTCCACACACACCCCACCAACCACACACACCTCACCAACACACACACACACACCACCAACACACACACACACACACACCCCAAGTCACACACACACCCCACTAACCAGCACACCTCACCAACACACACACACACCCCACCAACACACACACACACCCCACCAACACACACACCCCACCAACACACACACACACCCCACCAACACACACACACCTCACCAACACACCACACACACCTCACCAACACACACACACCCCACCAACACACACACACACACACCTCACCAACACACACACACACACCACCAACACACACACACACACCTCACCAACACACACACACACACACACTCACCAACACACACACACACACACACACACCTCACCAACACAACACACACACACCTCACCAACACACACACACACACACACCTCACCAACACACACACACACACACACATCACCAAGACAAAACCTAGAATCGAGTACAAGTCACCACCTCGCCTTTCAAGACCCTCAGGAGTAAATTATCTGATCATACGACAAAACAACCCCAAAAAACTAAAGAAAATCACTGACCCCGAACTGCGCATGCGTAAAATAACTCCACGAAAACACCTACTATTATTTTTCTTCACTATTATATATATTTGTGTTCGCTCTCTGATAATTTCACAGTTGGTAAAAATGTCAGGGGGTATTTTCACTGCCTCAGGGGCCCGGCAGAGAGGTTAGTTCAAGGGTGAAAATGGATTAATGTTTTGAGAAATAATGAAAGCAATTTATGGTTCAGTGTTTGGGCTCAAGCTGCTTCATATCCGTGTGTATATTGCTGGTAAGGGTTGATAATGATGGTGATAATAATGATAAATAATACCCCGGTTAACCTACCCAGAAACTTAACCCCATCAAATATATATTAAGCTATCAATAAGACTTGTCTGTAGGTCTGTGTTTATGTACTACCTATACTGAACAGACTCGGGGTCAAGGTGAATCGTAACCAATAGAGAGACTCGACCCCGGGACCTTTAGGCTGCTGTTTGAGACCAATGACCACACCGCCACAGATTTCTAAATGTTGATCAAATATTCTCAGTTTTCTCTGCAAAAAAAACAAAAATGGTGACGGGAGAAAACTGACGTAGTGTGTGTTAGAAAGTTTCTCTCTCCCTCCTTCCTTGTTCTTTCTCTCTCCTTCCTTGTTCTTTCTCTCTCCTTCCTTGTTCTCTCCTTCTTCTCTCTCTCTCTCTCCCTTCCTTGTCTTTCTCTCCTTCCTTGTTCTTTTTTCTCTCTCTCTCTCCCTTCCTTGTTCTTTCTCTTCTCTCTCTCTCTCTCTCCTTCCTTGTTCTCTCTCTCTCTCTCTCTCTCCTTCCTTGTTCTTTCTCTCCCTATCTCTCTCACAGGGGGGGAGTGTAGTTACATTGGATTGATGGCCAGATAGACTGAGGTGGTCACTTACACACACACACCCTGATACGTACATACATACATACATATATACGTACATACACACATATATACCTGTATGTACATACACACATAGTTACGTACACACACACACACACACATTATTGATTAAAAACAGTAATTTCACTTCAGCAAAATCCAGCTAGGTGTGGTGTTTCACACATATTTCACAAGGTCGAGATTCCTTACCTGACTACACAAAGGCTACACTTGACTACACAAAGCTACACCACTACACAAAGGCTACACCTCACACAGCACACCTCACCTATAAAGGCTACACCACACAAAGGCTACACCTCATACACAGCATACACCCACACACACCTCACTACAAGGCTGGGCTAATTTCCTCACTACACAAAGGCTACACCCTCACTACACAAAGGCTACACCCTCACTACACACCCCGCTTGATATAACAGAGAGAGAGACACATTACCACAAAACACAACATCACTCACGGCTTTGCAACATCGTGCAACTGGTTCAACATCCACTGCAACGTGTCCCAGGAGGAGAAACATCCTTCTGGCAACATCACAACATTCATCAATAATTTTTTTGTTGTTGTTGGTACTTGTTGATTGCAAAGTAACATGGCGGTAAATAGTTTATACACGAGGTCCTTTTTTATTATCTACATTATCACCTTTCACACACACACACACACACGCACACACACACACACACACACACACACACACACACACACACACGCACACACACACCTTACTCCACCCACACACGGCTTTGCCATATTAGAATAACGTTGCCAGGATGACTTGACAGAACACATACCATGTCTTGCCATAAGTTGACATAACACGTAAAAACATGTCACAGGTAACACATAAATCACAATATTGCCATAGGACGGTCGACATACACACGTTGCCATAACAGGCTGTAATCCTCACCCTTGCCATGATGTGGTGGTGCTAGAGTGAGAGTGCAGGAGACAGCGGTGAGGACGTGTGTTCCCTTATGACGTCGAATGGGAATGAATCTGGTGAAAGCTGGAGACCCATTTATAATCTCCTGGCTTGGGGTCTATTAAGCTCCGCCCCCCACCACCACCAAACCCCTCCCCTTCTTAGTGCCACAAGCCACGCCCACCTCCTGTGATTGACCGTGCCAACAACATAGATAGATATAAATAGATATAGATAGATATAGACAGACAGACAAACAGACAGACAGACGGACGGACGGACGGACGGACGGATTGATAGATGAATAGACGCACAAATAAAGAAGGAATTAAACAAGAGAAGAGAATGAACGACAAAGAGAGAAATAAGACTAAATAAAACAATAATAAGACTCGAGAAAAAACAAACAAATGAAGAATAAGTTTATATTATGTGGTTGGAGTAGGAGGGTGGGGTAGGGAAGGAGGGAGGGGTGGGGAGGAAAGGAGGGAGGGAGTGGGGAGTGAGGAGGGAGGGAGGGTGGGGTAGAGAGGAGGGAGTGGGGAAAGGAGGAGGAGGGAGGAGGAGGAGGGAGGGAGAGAGGAGGAGGGAGGAAGGAAAGGAAGGAAGGAAGGAGGGAGAGGAGTGGGGAGTGGGAGGAGGGAGGGAGGAAGGAAGGGAAGGAAGGAGGAGGGAGGGAAGGGTGGGGGTAAGGAAGGAGGAGGGAGGGAGGGGAGGGGAAGGAAGGAAGGGAGGAAGGAGAAGGGGTGGGGAGATGGAGGAGGAGGGAGGGAGGGGAAGGAAGGAGGAAGGAGGGAGGAGGGAAGGAGTGGGGTGGGGGAAGGGAGGGAGGGAGGGAAGGAAGGATGGGAAGGGAGGAGGGAGGGAAGGGAATAAGAGAGGAGGAAGAGGAGAGGGAGGAAAGGAGGGAAGGAAGGAAGGAGGAAGGAGGGAAGGGGGTGGGGTAAGGAAGGGAGGGGAGGGGAAGGAAGGAAGGAAGGGGAGGGAGGAAGGGGTGGGGAAGAGAAGGAGGGAGGGAGGAAGGAGGAAGGAGGAAGGGAGGAAGGAGGGAGGGGTGGGGAGGAGAGGAGGGAGGGAGGGGAAGGAGGGAAGGAAGGGAGGAGGGAGGGGAAGGAGGGAGTAAGGAGGAGGGTGGGAGGGAGGGAGGGGGAGGAGGGAGGGAGGGGTGGGGAGTAAGGAGGAGGGAGGGAGGGAGGAGGGGGGTGAAGGGTGTAGAGGATGGAGGGAGGGAGGGAGGGGGTGGGGTGAGATGGGAAGGAGGAGGGAGGAGGGGTGGGGAGTGAGGAAGGAAGGGAGGGAGGAGGGAGGGAGGGGGGTGAGGAAGGAGATGGAGGAGGAGGGAGGGGTGAGAGGAGAAGAGGAGGAAGGAGGGAGGAGGTGGAAGGAGGAGGAGGGGGTGGGGTAAGGAGGAGGGAGGGAGGAGGAGGAGAGAGGTGAGGAAGGAGGGAGGGAGGAGGGTGGAGAAGGGGGTGGGAAGGAGGAGGGAGGGAGGGAAGGGGTGGGGGAGGAGGAGGGGAGGGGGGAGGGAGGGAAGGGGGTGAGATGAGAAGGAAGGGAGGGAGGGGAGGGAGGGAGGTGGGAGAGGATGGATGGAGGGAGGGGGAGGGGGTGGGGGGCAGGAAAGGAGGGAGGGAGGGAGGGAGGAGATGAAGGAGGGAGGGAGGGAGGAGGGGGTGGGGTAAGGAAGGAGGGAGGGAGGGAGGAGGGGGTGGGGAGGAGAGGAGGGAGGGAGGAAGGAGGGAGGGGGTGGGGATGGGGAGGAGGGGGGAGGGAGGAGGTGGGGTAAGGAGGAGGGAGGGAGGAGGGAGGGGTGAAGGAGGGGAGGAGGGAGGGGTAGGGTAAGGAGGAAGGGGAGGGAGGAGGAGGGGGTGGGGAAGGGAGGAGGGAGGGGAGGGAGGGAGGGGTGGGGTAAGGAGGGAGGAGGAGGGAGGGAGGGGAGGGGGTGGGGGGTAAGGAGGGGAAGGAGGAGGGAGGAGGGAGGGGTGGGGGTAGGAGGAGGGAGGAGGGAGGGAGGGGGTGGGAGTGGAGGGAGGAGGGAGGAGAGGGGAGGGGTTGAGAGTGGGGAGAAGGGAGGAGGGAGGGAGGGGGAGTGAGGGGTAAGGAGGAGGGAGGGGAGGGAGGGAGGGGGGGTGGGGGAGGGAGGAGGGAGGGAGGAGGGAGGGAGGGGGGTGGGGGTAAGGAGGGAGGAGGAGGGAGGAAGGGGGTGGGGTAAGGAGGAGGGAGGGAGGGAGGGGGTGGGGGTAAGGAGGAGGAGGGAGGGAGGGAAGGAGGGGGAGGAATGAGGATGGATGGGGAAGGTGGGTAGGAGAATGAGGATGAGGAGGAAGGTTGGGGGAAGCTGAGTGGAATGAGGAGTGGAGGGGTGGGGGTGGGATGATGAGGAGTGGAGGATGTGTGATTGATGGGAGGAATGATGGAGGTGGATGATGGGAGGGGTGGGGGGGGGGGGGGGGGGGGGGGTAAGGGGAGGGAGGAGGAGGAGGTGTAATGGGGGAAGGATGGAGGGAGTGAGGGGGAGGGAGGGGTGGGGTAAGGATGAGGGGATGGAGGGAAGGAAGGAGGAGGAGGAGGAGGAGGGAGGAGGGGGTGAGGAGGGGAGGTGGGGAGGAGGGGGTGGGGTGTATGAGGAGGAGGAGGAAGGTGGGAAGGAGGGTGGAAGGAGGGGAAGGAGGAGGGGGAGGAGGGGTGGGGTAAGGAGGAGGGAGGAGGATGATTGTGGGGAATGAGTGGAATGGATGAATGATGGATGTGGAGGAGGGGTGGGGTGGGATGTAGGGAGGAGGAGTGATGAATGTAATGATGTAATGGGGGATGAGTGAGGAGGTGGGGGTAAGGGGAGGAGGGATGGATGGATGAGGAGAATGGGGGAAGGAGGGGATGATGGATGGTGGTGATGAGGGGAGGGGAGTGATGGGTGGGTAGGAGTGAGGGGGAGGAAGGGAGGAGGGTGGTGGAAGGGAGTGGGAAGGAGGGGGAAGGAGGGGGGAGGTGGGGTAAGGAGGAGGGAGGGAGAAGAAGGAGGAAGGAGGGAGGGGAGGGGGGGAGGGTAAGGAGGAGTGGAAAGAGGGAGGGGTGGGGTAAGGAGGAGGAGGGAGGAGGAGGAAGGAGGGGGGGGGGGGAATGAGGAAGGAGGAGGAGGAGGAGGTGGGGTAAGGAGGAGGGAGGGAGGAAGGAATGAGGTAGGATGGAAGGAGGAGGAGGAGGGGGTGGGGGAAGGAGGATGGAGTGGAGGATGGATGGGGTGGTGGAATGATGATGAGGAGGAGGGCAATGAGGAAGGGAGGGAGGTGGAGGATGAAGGAGAAGGAATGAGGGAGGAGGAGGAGGGGAGGGAGGGAGGGGTAAGGAGGAGGAGGGGAAGGATGAGGAAGGTGGAAGGAGGGGAGGGAGGGGAAGGGTGGGAAGGAGAAGGAGGGAGGAGGGAGGGAGGGAGGGAGGAAGGAGGAAGGAGGAAGGAGGGAAGGAGGGAAGAAGGGAGGGAGGGAGGAGGTGGGAAGGAGGAGGAGGGAGGAAGGAAGGAGGAGGAAGGAGGGGGAAGGAGGAAGGGAGGGGGTGGGGGTGGAGGAGGAGGAGGAGGAGGAGTGAAGGAATGGAAGGAGGGAGGAGGGAAGGAGGAAGAAGGGAGGAGGAGTGGATGGGAAGGAGTGGAGGGAGGAGGAGAGGGGAGGGGGAAGGAGGAGGGAGGGGAGGGAGAGATGGAAGGAGGAAGGAGGAAAGGAGGAGGGAGGGAGGAGGGTAAGGGAGGAATGTGAAGGAAGGATGAAGGGGAGGGATGGGAGGGAAGGAGGGTGGGGAGGGGAGGGGAGGGAGGGAGGGAGGGGAGGAGGGAGGAGGGGAGGGGAGGGGAGGGGAGGGGGGGTAAGGAAGGGAGGAGGAAGGAGGAAGGAGGGAGGGAGGGAGGGAGTACATGTTAAGACAGAGGACGGGATGGTTATGTGAAAGGGGAGACACAGACAGACACAGACACACACAGGAGATGCAGGATGGTAGGAGATTCTTGCCTGGTGGTACAGCTGGTGGTAGCAGTTCCAGTAGCAGCAGTAGTAGTAGTAATGGTGGTGTGTGGTAGTAGTGGCGGGTGGTGATGGTCAAGAAAGAGGTATATAAACATGAGGAGGAGAAGGAGAGGAGAAGGGAGAGGAGGAAGAGAGAGGAGACATGTATTTACATAGCACACATATGACTAAAACAAAAATATTGGCTATATTTTTGAGGATGATGATGAAACTTTAATGATGATGATGTAAATTGATGATAACATGCACAAAGCAAAGCCTAGAAAGATGAATGTTTGAAGCAGCAAATGTAGCTCATTATTTAAAGGAAGGTGACAGAAGGTGAGGGTGACGGGCCTACACCTGACACACCTCCCTGGAGAGAGAGAGAGAGAGAGAGAGAGAGAGAGAGAGAGACACAAAATAAACAAAATATGTTTTGTGCACACACACACACACACACACACACACACACACACAGTTGGTAATACTACAGGCGTACATATTTATTTCAGATGTATATCAGGCAGCCAAGTATGACGTGCCTAAATAAATAAGTACTACTGACTGGACAGATTGACAGACATTAAATGCCATTGAAAAGGATGTATCACAGGTGTAAGGATAACATGTAAAGTGTAACACAGGCGTAAGGATACTACTGTAAAGGTACTGTTGTATGTATGATAATTACTGTAAAGGCAATACAGGCGCATGATAACTACTGTAAAGTGTAACACAGGCGTATGATACTACTGTAAAGTGTAACACAGGCGTAAGGATAACATGTAAAGTGTACCACAGGCGTAAGGATGTTTTATTTTTATAAAGAAATAATATAAAATAGTGAAAGTTTACATAGCATGTAAAGACATAAGAAGGGTTACCAATAGTAATGATATATTTTACCATACAAAGTTTTATAGACGTTTGGCAAAGCGGGTGTTTTATAGGGCTGCTATGAAATAAAATTGTGTTTAAGGGCTGTTATTGTTACTATACTTGGCCTTGCTGTTTTTTGTTGTTAATGTTGTTTATCATAGTGTTATTGTTTTTATTATTTTTGTT